ATGAACATGTTTAATCATTGATTGATTGATTGCTTGACGTAACTTAACCCTAACCCTCAGGGAAGGCTAAATATCTTAGACTGTCAGTCAAGCTGCACAGGGAGTCAGTTTGCTGGGAGAAGTATGGTAACTTCTTCCTGTTTCATGGTACGACGACGGGACCTCTGAGCCTGGCCTCCTCCATCTACACCTGCGGACTGCCCTGCCCAACCCGCCTGGGAGTGCTTTAGTCCTGCACCGGACCTGTCCACGTTCAACGGCCGCTGGTCCACGTTCTGTAGCTTAGGTCCTGGATCTATAGCCTGTCCGTCCGTGGGAGCGGATCCCTTTCTCAAACTGTAAAAAAAGGGTCTCCCAGAGGTTTCTCACTTTTTTCCCACTGGGTTTTTTTAAGAGTTTTTCCTTGCCGATGCAGGAGGGTCTGTTGGGCAGTTAGTGTCCAACTAGAAGGACTGTGGTGATGATCCAGGACACTTTAACATTCTACATCATGTATGGACATTTATCAACATGTGTTCTATATTCTTTTTGTGTTTTAACTGCTGATTCTCGGATCTGTGTTGGTTATTCAATGGTTTTGTTAAGTCCTCTGAGATGACGTCTGTTGTGATATAGGGCTATACAATAATAAATTGTATTGTATTTGCATGTATTTATAGGTGGGTTTTTTTTGTGATGATTTCAATGGTTTTGTTAAGTCCTCTGAGATGAGTGCTGTTGTGATTTAGGGCTATACAAGAATACATTGAATTGATTTGAATTATTGAAGTAAAGTAAAGTCCGGTTCTAAAATTTGCCTCATTACATTTTAACTTTTTTTTTTAAATAAACACTGTTGGACAAAAACACTGTTGCAAGATTGTTTATAAACATTTGTCAAGGGACATTTGAATAGGTCATTGGAGAAAAATGTATAGGAAACCGTGAACATGCTAAATCCACATAGAAAGTACTTTGAATTAAAGATGCAGTAAGCGATTTTGTTAGCTTAGCCGTAGCACCAACTCGAAACCACTCCCCCCTCCCCTCGCCTCTCCACCAAACCAAAACAACGGGCACACGTGAATCAGTTGAACATGTCATATTCTCCTGATGAGCAGAGGAGCTGCGTATCGCGGCTGTGTACACAGCTGCAGAGTCGCGGCTGCTGCTGTCTCTAAATGATCAGACCGATGGGTTGTGTTTGTGCGTTTACTCTGCACTCTGTCCTACTACAGTACAGACGTGTTGATGTAGCCGTTACTATTTGATGGCTCACGCGTATGTTAGTATTTGGGGCGTTCACGGGTAGAAAAAAAGTATTGTTTAAACATTACAGAAAGTGCGTAGATAATCCACATGTACGTGTTTGTCCTCATGCAGGGACGTGCAGTCAGGGGAGGCAGGGGAGGCAGGGGAGGCAGAGCCTCACCTGCCATTATTGGAAACTAATAATTATTTTAGTTTAAATATATAATTTATATCCACTGTCCTATGCTTTTAATGTATATTCGGCACGGTTCCCATCAGTTTTGATCATTTCTGAAGTCAAAATCGCCGAAATCCCGTTATTCCTATTCAAAGAGACGAGGTGAGGCAGCGCTCCTGCGTGCCTCACCCCAGACCGCTCCCTCACAGTGTGTGTGTGTGTGTCTGAGTGCACTCAGCTCGTGCAGTTGATATATCACCGTTTGTTTCAAATATCCTGCTTTAAAAACATTTTTTAAACTCCTCTTAGTGTTTAGTAGTGTATTGCACGTATGTGTGTACAATTTATATTTAGTTTAAGTCTTTTGATCGTAGATGAACACACAAGGAAAAAGCTTGGCGTGAGGCAGGCGGTATCTGTGCCTCACCGCTAGGGGTGATAGTGAGCATAAAGTTCATTCCAGAGTTGCTAACAAACAATCAGCCCAAAATGCTATTTCTTTTGCTGGAAAATGGATGATTTGAATGAAGATTTTTTTTCTCAATTGGACTTTCAAACAAAGAAAGAATTAATATAGACTGGGAGACCACCACTGGACTTACGAGGTTAGTCCGGCTGCGGGGGAGGAGTTTGTTAATCTGTGTTTTATGTTGAACATTGACAGATACCGGCAAAGTAGTGCTTTTCCGAAAAACACTGATTCAAACACTGCTCAAGAGTTCTGCAACTTGTTTAAATTATTGTTTATGTTCCTCGCGTCTCTCTCTCCTCGCGTCTCCGTCTCTCTCTGCTCCTCGCGTCTCCGTCTCTCTGCTCCTCTCTGTCTCTCTCTGCTCCTCTCTCCTCGCGTCTCTCTCTCCTCGCGTCTCCGTCTCTCTGCTCCTCGCGTCTCCGTCTCTCTGCTCCTCTCTGTCTCTCTCTGCTCCTCTCTCCTCGCGTCTCTCTCTCCTCGCGTCTCTCGCACCTGCGCTTCTTAAAGATGTTGTTTGATGCGGAGCAGAGTCAGCAGCTAGATTTGTTGTGAGATTATTAAAAGAAGCTGGTTCTCTTATCTTTACAGTATATAAAGTTTGTGGATGTCATTGCATTGGTGATTAAATGCTATTTTATTTGAATAATGATTGTAAATCTGACTTTTAAAGTCAGTGCCTCCCCAATCACAAACCTCACCGCACGTCACTGTCCTCATGGTACCTGTGGCTGTTGTGGTCAGACGTGAGACTTTATGAACTGCGTGAAGCGGAGGGACCCGCGCACGTGCGGCCGTTATGTGAGATGTCAGTGAAAATTACCTTGTGAATGCACTGCAAGATCTCAGGCGTAAAATTCAGTCATGTTTAGAAAATTCCCACAATATTTCAAAAAAATGCATCTGGAAAAAATCACTGACTGTATCTTTAACTAGATAATATTCTAATTTTCCACATTTTACCTGTATATAATGTTTCAAAGACGCTTTTAAAAAAATGCTTAAAGATTAGTTTTTCCCAAAAATTATGTGTTGAAGCAATAATATTACTTTGAGCTAATAAATTCTAATGTTATTTTGAGCCTGTCCTCATAATTTGTATTTCTCATTTTCCCTATCTTAAGCAATACAACTAGCCTTTGCCTACCATGTTATTGTTGTAGGTAGAATAAAATACTGATAATGTTGTCCAAACTATGAAAAAAAAAAGTTGGATTAGTTTCCAATATAACATGTTTACCCAGAGGCTTGTGTTATGAAATAATTAAACCTTTTGAAAGTTTCCCATGTCAACTTGTATTCAATTTGAACAGTTAGATATGTACATTTGTGACAACGTTTCAAAACTTAATCGTCAGAATTCTTTTTTTTTAGAGCACTTTTCCCTCTCATCAGTCCAGTTTTAGAAGGAGTATTAAGTAACGTCAAAGAGTATACAACAAAAGGCAAACTCAATATAATGTCCCATTGCAACAAACACACCCGTAACCGAGACGCATCTTGGACTGAACGCAACACAAGTGTCACAGGAGTATAGGCAAAGAGTATAAATAACTTTTTCAATTCAATTCAGAAGCAGTTTAAGGAAACTTATTCTTTAGCCTGAACTAAAACAGGTTAAATAATGTTTAACCTCGGGGGATTCTCAAAGTACTGCAGACTAAACCAGACTAAATTCACGCGGGCTACCCCGTAAATTTTACCCATAGAACTCAATGTAAACTAAAACAGCTCGACCTCAGCTGACAGAGAACCTACAGCTTTCACAAAGGTCGGATTTTGTGGGGATTTTGGTGTCCCTTGTCATCCTGAACTTTTTTTCTTCGTAAATCCTTCGGTTTTCTTTAAATCCAAATCCAGTGGCACAAAGCGCCACTGAGCAGAAACCATTAATTTGAATACGGCGCCACCTTGGATCGCCGGGGCTTGGGACAAACTCGCTTTTTGACTTTGAAGCAGCAGTTTCGAAGCACGAAGCTTTTGCCCCCCACTACTTCCCTTCCATTCAGGCGTGTGCTGTTGTTTACGGAGCTGGAGCATGGATCAATAAGAATATCTGGATACGTCTCTTGTTTTGGCCCAAAAAAAAAAAGGAATTTTTTGTTCCTCATTTGATTGCATACCCCAGTGCTAAAGTAGTCTCGTCAACTGCGCTTCCCGGGTGGCTCTCTCCCGGTCCTTCTAACGCTTGGCCTCCCTCCGACATTTGAAAAAGCCTTGAAAATCCCGCAGGCCATCGAAACGGCAAACAGGGATGTGCGTGACTTGCAGCCGGCGCTGGACAGTGCGGCGGGGAAAAATGCAACACCAATGACAGTGCATAAAGTGGGAACGGAGAATAAACGACAAAGTAAGAGCGTTCCATCAGACTGTTATAGGTGTGGGGGTGCGCGGGAATCATTTTGCGCGGGACTGTCGTTTTATAAATGAAAAATGTCATGGCTGTGGAAAAAAAGGGCACGTGAAGAAAATGTGCAGGTCCGCGCCTCCGGGTGCCCAGCAGACTAAGGGGGGTGGAAAGAGTTTTGTGAAGGGGGAGAAAGGTAGCCGTAAGAAAAAAAAACAGTATGCACACCATATGGATGAGTCTTCTGAGACACAATCTAGTGATGAAGAAGTGTTTGATTCTTTTACTTTGTGTAATGTAAAGTTAGAAAAGGTAGACCCTATTACCACACAGCTAGTAATAAATGGAAAAAAAGTAATGTTCGAGGTGGATACAGGCTGTAGTGTGACAATTTTGACAAAGACTGAATACAACAAGTTGTGGCCAGAAGGAAAGGCACAAGAACTGCAAAATTGCCCATTGACTTTGAAAACATATACGGGTGAAAAAGTCTCTACATTAGGGACTACAAGGACAAAGTCAAACAGTTACCACTGGTCGTGGTAGATGGCAGAGGGCCAAACCTGCTAGGTCGAGCATGGCTAAGGGAGTTGAAAATGACCTGTGTGCATGTCAACAAAATGGATCATTCTCCACTTACTTTACAAAATGTGCTTAAACAGAACGAAGAGGTTTTTAAAGAGGAACTGGGGACCTGGAGAGGGCCGCCGGCAAAAATATACATTAAAGAGAATGTTGCCCCAAAGTTCTTCAAGCCTAGGCCCGTACCTTATGCCATGAGGAAGAAAGTAGAGACAGAGCTGAGAGACTCACCAAGCAGGGGGGTCATTGAACCAGTGAAGTTCTCAGAATGGGCTACACCAATACTACCAGTGTTGAAGCCTGACGGAGGGGCACGCATTTGTGGAGACTACAAACTCACGGTGAACCCAGTCTCTAAGCTAGAGCAGTATCCAATACCAAGGTTGGAAGATTTGTTGACTGGGGGAGAGAAGTTCAGCAAACTGGACCTTAGTCACGCATATCAACAAGTCTCTCTTGATGAGACATCAAAGCCGTACTGTATGTCACCATTAACACACACAAAGGGCTCTTTCAGGTGAATCGCTTACCATTTGGTGTTTCTTCCAGTCCCGCTATATTTCAACGGATGATGGAAGGACTGCTGTCAAGAATCCCTAATGTGGCTGTGTACCTGGACGACATCCTGCTGACGGGCCGGAGTGACCACGAGCATCTGGAGACGTTAAATGAGGTTCTGAGGCGGCTACAAGAGGCAGGTCTTCGATTGAAACGCAATAAATGTGCCTTCTTGGAGCGAGAGGCGGAATTCCTGGGGTACAAAGTGGATTCTGCGGGGCTCCATCCCCTGCCAAACAAGGTAAAGGCCGTCGAACTAGCACCTGCACCCAAAAATGTCACAGAATTGAAGTCGTACTTAGGTTTACTTAACTACTACAACAGATTCTTACCAAACCTGTCAACGTTGCTTGCGCCCTTACATAAACTGTTGAGAAAGGATACCTTGGTGTTGGAAGGAGGAGCAAGAGAGGGCTTTTGGGGAGTCTAAGAAACTCTTGCAGTCGTCAAAGGTCTTAGTGCATTATGACAGCCAGAAAGACTTATTATTGGCCTGCGATGCGTCGCCTTATGGTGTGGGGGCGGTGTTGTCACATCGTATGTCAGACGGGCAAGAGCGACCTATTGGCTTCATGTCACGGACACTCACGCCAGCCAAATCAAACTACTCACAACTGGACAAGGAAGGACTGGCAGTGACTTTCGGCATTCAGCGTTTCCATAAGTACTTGTATGGAAGGAGGTTTGTCATTTCCACAGACCACAAACCACTATTGTCACTTTTCAATGAGTTGAAAGCTGTGCCTCAAATGGCATCCCCTCGCATCCAAAGGTGGGCGGTGACTTTGAGAGCATATGAATATGAGATTGTCTACAAGCCAGGGAAATATCACGGCAACGCAGACGCGCTGAGCCGAGTGCCCCTGCCTCAGCCATCGACAGAGAAAGTGCAAGAGGATTGAGTGCTGATGATGGAGGACACGTTGCTGGTATCAGCAACCGAAGTGAGCCAGTGGACACGTAAAGACCCTGTGTTGTCCCGAGTTCGGCAGTTCATTCAACATAGTTGGCCGTCACAACAGTCAGACCCAGCATTCCAACCTTATTCCGTCAGGAAAATGGAGTTAAGTGTGCAAGATGGTTGTGTATTGTGGGGGTCACGCGTGGTGGTGCCCCCGCCAGGTCGGGGAGCTTTGATTCGCCAACTGCATCATGGTCACCCAGGCATTACCAGAATGAAAGCCTTAGCACGTAGCTACATTTGGTGGCCAAAGCTAGATACAGACATTGAGACAGTGGTGAAGGGATGCAGCACATGTCAAGAACATCGTAACGTACCGGCTCCAGCGCCCCTCCACCCCTTGGGAGTGGCCAAGCAAACCGTGGCAAAGGCTACACATAGACTATGCAGGACCATTTATGGGTCATATGTTTTTGATCTTAATGGATGCTCATTCAAAATGGATGGACGCATACCCTGTTTCAACAGCAACTTCAGCTAAAACTATCGAGTGTCTATGGAAAAGTTTCAGCAGTCAAGGGTTGCCCGAGATGGTGGTGTCGGATAATGGATCATGTTTTGTGAGTGCTGAGTTTAAAGATTTTATGAAAAATAACGGCATTGATCACATTACCTCGGCTCCATAACACCCTTCTTCAAACGGTTGCGCCGAGCGGGCAGTCCAGACCTTCAAGTGCATGATGAAAAAGGCGGGTGAAGGAAATATCCAGACTAAAGTTTCGAGGGTGCTATTTAATTACCGCATTACCCCTCAGTCGACCACAGGGTTGTCACCCGCTGAAATGTTACAAGGTCGTAGGTTAAGATCAACTTTGGATCTAGTGCATCCTGACCTGAGATCCAAGGTGGAACAGAAGCAGGGCGTTCAAAAGAAGCATCATGACAAACAAAGAACAGTGAGAAGTTTCTTAATCGGAGATGCAGTCATCACGCAAAACTTTAGTTATGGGCCCAAGTGGATCCAAGGCTTCATTACCAAAGTCACCGGCCCTGTGTCTTACAAAGTCATGTTAGGGGATGGTTCCATAGTGCGTAGGCATGTGGACCAGATACTGGACAGACCTGAACAAAAATACATTATTGACCCGGAGGGAACGGGACCTCAGACAGTACCACTTGTGTCGGCTGACGCTACACCATTGTCAGAGGAACCTGGAGCAGTAAGCGTGAGTGGTGCTCCGGAAGGGAATCCACAACTCAGGGATATAACAACTCCATCAATGGTGGTCATTCCAGAGACCGTGAGGGAAGCGCCGCTGGTGGTGCCTGCACGAACTGTGTCTAAACCCAATTTTCTGAAAGACTATGTCTGTGGGAAGTAAACTAGAAATATAAAAGGAAAGAAGAAGAAAACTGTTACTATGTTAAGTTTCAAGCTAAGTTAAGTTAACTGAGTTTAAAAGGTTTGGCATGGCTACTGAAGGGCTTGTAACAGTTTGTTTTGTTTGGTTTATTCATTATGGTAATATTAGTACTCGCTTAAGGGGGGAGGACTGTAATATAGGATAGTGTTATCTTACCACAAACCTATAGGTGGCAGTGTGGGATAAGGGGTTGTAATAAGAGTGCACTTGGCGGGTTCAGTCTCTGTTATGTTGTTGGCTGCATGTTGATGATTAAAACCCCCGTGTAAGCCACCCGGTGTTTATGACTTCTTTAATGACAAGGATACTACACTCTGTAACGGAGGATGTGACGGGGGGATTGAGGAGAACCTCAAAGTATTCCTTCCACCGCCCGACAATATCCCCAGTCGAGGTCAGCAGCTCTCCACCCGCACCGTACATGGTGTTGGCAAAGAACTGCTTCCCCCTCCTGAGGCGCCGGATGGTTTGCCAGAATCTCTTCGAGGCCGACCGATAGTCATGTTCCATGGACTCTCCGAACTCCTCCCAGTCCCGGGTTTTTGCCTCTGCAACAGCCCGGGCCGCGGCACACTTGGCCTGCCGGTACTGGACAGCTGCCTCAGGAGTCCCCGAACCATCATTGCTCGATAGGACTCCTTCTTCAGCCTGACAGCATCCCTTACTGCCGGTGTCTACCACCGGGTTCGGGGGTTGCCGCCGGGACCAGCACCAGAGACCTTGCAACCACAGCTACGAGCTGCCGCATCGGCGATTGAGGCAGAGAACATGGTCCACTCGGACTCCATGTCCCCCTCCTCTGCCGGAACCTGGGAGAAGCTCTCCCGGAGGTGCGAGTTGAAAGTCCGTCTGACAGGGGGCTCAGCGAGACGTTCCCAGCAGACCCTCACTATACGCTTGGGTCTGCCAGGTCTGACTGGCTTCTTCCCCTGCCAGCGGATCCAACTCACGACCAGGTGATGATCGGTTGACAGCTCCGCCCCTCTCTTTATTCGAGTGTCTGAGACACGCGGTCGAAGGTCAGATGATACGACAACAAAGTCGATCATCGACCTCCGGCCTAGGGTGTCCTGGTGCCACGTGCACTGGTGGACACCCTTGTGCTCGAACATGGTGTTCGTGATGGACAAACTGTGACTGGCACAGAAGTCCAACAACTGAACACCGCTCGGGTTCAGATCAGCGGGGCCGTTCTTCCCGATCACCCTTCTCCAAGTGTCACTGGCGTTTCCCACATGGGCGTTGAAGTCCCCCAGGAGAATAACGGAGTCCCCGGGCGGTGCACCGTCCAGTACCCCTCCCAAGGACTCCAAGAAGGCCGGGTACTCTGCACTGCTGTTAGGCCCGTAGGCCGTCACAACAATGAGAGACTTGTCCCCCACCCGGAGGCGGAGGGACGCGACCCTCCCATTCACCGGGGAGAACTCCAACACAGCTTGGGCTCTGGAACCCAACTCCTTGAGAGGGGTTGGACGCTCCACTTTTCTGTTGTTTCCCGCGGGGAGAGGCGGCGAGCTGGGGTGGCCATTCTCACCACCCTCTACAGGTGGTGGGCCCACAGGAGGGACTGCCCACGTCATCCCTTCCGGCCGGGCCCCGTGGGCTAAGGCCGGGCCACCAGGCGCTCGCATACGAGCCCCGACCCCAGGCCTGGCTCCAGGGTGGGGCCCCGGCTGCGCCATGCCGGGCGACGTCACTTGTCTATTTATTGTGCTGTCCATGGTGGTTTTTGGACCGCTCTTCGTCTGACTCGTCACCTGAGACCTGTCTGCCATGGGAGACCGTACCAGGGGCATGAAGCCCCAGACAGCATAGCTCCCAGGATTATCCGAGTACTCAAACTCCCCCACCACGTTAAGGTTGCAGTCCAGGGGGGAGTTTACATTTACATATACAAATAAATAAATTAAAAACAGAATAAAATCACAAGTAATTAAAAACCTTAAGACATTAAAAACATAGACGGGAGTAAAACAAAATATAGCCACAATGCATAAAAAACAGTATCTATAATCTATAAAATCCTTCAGTTGTATGCACAGCTAAACAGAACTGTTTTTAACCTTGATTTGAAAACTGCCAGAGTAGATGCTAGCCTCACACTTAACTGACACAAACTCTGCTGTTTTAATTCCCGCTCTGGCTCCGCTCTGCTGCTGCTCTGATCAGCAGCTCTGATTGGTCAAAGCGCGGCCGAGCCCCTCTGTGCATGCGCATGAGAGCCACACACGCGTATTTGTCGCAACGCATCATGCAGACGCGGCGCCAGAGATAGGCCTAGGTAGGCCGGGGCCTACCATTTTTTTCTTGGCCTGCTCAAATTTGTTCTTTGCCTCTCAAGTCATAAGCCTTTTTTATTCATAAGTCATAATTTAAATGTTGTTATCATAAATTATCGCCTAAATGTGGCGTTCAAATGTTTTTTTAGAAAACGTGATCACGTTCTTACGTTGCTTCTAAATATAGTTCTGTTTGTTGGCTAAACAATTTTGTCCAATGAGATGCATGATCATATCAAACGGCGCGAAACTCATTAGCAAACTAGTTTCCCCGAGAACAAGCAGCTATTCCTTGTTGACAATGTTCTCAAAACATTCAAAACAGAGTAGCCTTTTTAATTTTAGTTTTAAGAAAGTTCGGTCTGAACTTTGTGAAGGCGAGACTCAGGTAGAGGAGGAGCCAGAGGCCCAGCCCCGTAGGTCAGAGCAGCAGCTTCGACAAGAAGGCACGTACTATTTTCCCATTTAGAAGGCTTGCTTGTGGACTATAACAAAACAACTACGATATTATGGCTATTCAAATAATATGAAATAACGCATAAGGGTAGGCCTAAGCCTAATATATATGAACTGTTTGTAATAAATGACCAATTGTGCATTCGCATTAGCAATACAAACGAGGACATTGAGCATTTTAATGTTTAGCATATTTGTTTTTATTCATAGGCTACATTTACGAAAATGCGTTAGGACCACTGCGTCTGTCAGCCTTCATAAAGATTTTAGTTCTGCTCAGAAGTGTGCACCGACAAAGTACTTTTTTGAACCTACTTTTTATTATATACTTTTATGATCATTTCAAAAGAGAAAAGGTGTTTATATTAAATGTCTTGAAGGCTGTATCATGCGTGCTGTTATTTTTTTATATCAACAAGTTGACAATAATTTTAATCAGAATGTAGTTTCTTTACGTTTACGTGTAGTAATTTAAAGTTAAAGTTAGTTATTTGTGTTGTAGGAGATAATGCAGCCGACCCACAGGACGTTCGCCTCTGTCCCCACGATCTGTCTTCTAAAGACGAGCCTCCCACGCAGCCCAACCTGCGCACTTTCCCCTCTTCCAGTATAGGGGGAAAGGACAGGAGGTTTTCTGCACACTGGTACCAGAGGTTTCCATGGCTGGAATACAGCATCTCGAAGGATGCTGTGTTTTGCAATAAATGTCGACATTTTCCAGATGCCTTGCAAGACAATACCTTCATTTTTAATGGAACGAAAGATTGGAAAAACATTAGTGCGATTTGTATAAAGCACGAAGGGAGCAAGGGACACGAGAGGGCCTCGGGTAAAATGGCAGGATACCAGCAGAGTCACCGAGAGCGTGGGAATATTATCAATCAGTTGAACAGAGATGCCCAAAACAAAGCATTAATTGACAGAAACAGGGAGCACATCATACTGGTTATTGACCTAGTCCTGTTCTGTGCCAAACAAGAGATTCCACTGCGAGGTCACAGGGAAAATGCAGATGCATTGAATAAAGGAAATTTCCTAGAGTTGCTGGAATTGGTTTCAAAATATGATCCACAAATTAAAGAACGACTTGACCAATTGCCAAAGAATGGAAAGCTTTTACATCACAGTATACAAAATGAAATACTTGAGATCACAACCTCCCTCATTATAAGTAAAATAAAGAAAGATTTGCATGACGAGCCCAGCGCATATTATGCCATTTTAGCAGATGATTGTAAGGACATATCAAAAAAAGAACTGGTGCCAGTGTGTGTCCGGTACCTGCACAAAGGCGTATTGAGAGAAAGAGCAGTAGGATTTGTGCAGACTGAGAACTTGACAGCAGAGGCCATATCAACAAAAATATTAGAGGCTTTGGAGCCGCTGCAACTTGACCCAGAGCTGTGCGTAGGGTATGGGTTTGATGGTGCATGCGTCATGTCGGGGAACAAGGGCGGTGTGCATGTGATATTGAAGAGAACCTTCCCTCGCGCTGTGCATTGCAACTCCCACAGACTTAACCTTGTCTTGTGCACAGCAGCAAAAGTCTCTGCGTGCATTGAAACCTTTTTTGTTGTTTTAAATGACCTGCATCACTTTATGACTGGAGCACACAGACACGCAAAATTTATGGAAATACAAGATCAAATGCGGCCAGGGCAAAAACCTTTGGAGCTGGAGAGAGCCTGTGATGTTCGCTGGACCTCCTGGTCAAATACTGTGAGTAAAGTGCTGACACTGTTGGGACCGATTTTGGAGACCCTCGCCTCTTTTTCTGAAAGTGCAAGGGGCCAAACAAAAATGGATGCGGACGCCTTATTGAACCAGATACAGAATAAAAAATTCCTGTTCCTCCTTGTTACGTTTAATCTGCTGTTTGAAGTCAGTGACTACGCCACAAAAGGCTTGCAGTCCCCTACACTGTCAGTCACAGATTGCACTGATTTAATCGAAGGACTCAAAGACAATTACACGAAGTTCAGACACGAAAATGCGACATACAATAAAACACTGGCTCTGGCAGATGACCTGATGATTAAACACGACATCATCAATTGGGACATTGGCGCGTCACGCAAAAGAAAGTTACCTGCCAGGTTAAAGGATTCTCTGGTCGGATCTACTTTGGGCAAGTCCTTCACTGTGCAGACAAATTCAGATCTTCGAAGACTTTGGAACGACACATTGGATAGACAAATAACGGAGTTGAATATCCGCTTCAAGCCTGACTAACTAATCTGCAGGCCTACCCATAACTGCAAACCTGGCGCCGCTACTGGCATCATGGGAGCTCATCCACTGCGCAGAACCGGGAGGACCAGACGATGCCCCAATATAGGTGAGTTCTGCTAATCTCCCGGTCTCCGTGAAGTCCCATGCGCTACTGAGCACAAGCCATTAATTTGAATAGGACGCCATCTTGGATCACCGGGGCTTGTGGAAATGAGAGACCTGTGAGCGAGTTGGGGGGCGGTGCTAAACATTCAAACCGTGCAGAAATGGGTATAGCTCCTTAAATGTTATAAATGTGTCATAAAAGCTCCTTTTATGACATATACCTCTCTGGATCTTTGGGGAATCAATGAAATGCCGTTGATCAGTTGTACTTTGGCTGCAGTTGATGCCGAGCACTGTTTGGTTGTTTCCATTTATTTTCAGACATAGCGTTATTGCTGTATAGTATAGTATGTCGCTATGGTAACCGTCTCTGTTTCAGTCCAAAACGGCGAAATGGCGCTGCTGACAAAACTGCAAAGGAGTTTTGCCTCTTGTTATACGTACTCTTTGGTAATGTTTTATGCGGGGAAAATTTAAAGTGTATATTTTTGCATATTTGACCTTGTAATGACACAGTGTCTGCACGAGTGGAAGTTCTTTTAGAACCGGAGACACAACCATGATCAAAAGTAAAGACGCTACGCTTATCATTCATAGTCATTCACATTCACATTACAGTCACTGCATCACTATAATGGCGCGTTCAGACTTCACGCTTTTTGGGCATCAAAAAAAGCATCTAACGCGCGTCATTGGATGCTTGTGCTATAGATTAAATTTGGATCTCACATTGCATAATACCCATTTGATTAAAAAAAAGTTGTTACTTTAACTAAGCAACTAAAACAAATTTGTGGCATTGAATAAGTATGCTCATCGATAAGGAGGGAGGAACTACTTAATTCACAGGATTAATAGAATATTATGCCTTATTTAAATTGATATTAGCTGTAATAATATTTTTGATAATATTTGCATCAATACATGCCAATGGTTATAAGCTAGGGTGACAGCAATGGCAGCATTGGTCAAACTGCAATAGCTACTAACGTGCCACTAATAACAGTAAGCTTTTAGTTAGCGGTACGAAAAACCATATTCTGGTTGAAAACTTGTAAGTGGCTGTAGGTAATGTTACAAGTCTATGGTGCGTTCAGACCAAACGCGATTTCTCCGGCCAAAGCGGCGGGTCTACATTGACACAACATGGGGGACGCGCGCCAAGGAGCGGCGAGAGATCACGCGGCGCAAATTCGAGCGTTTCGCGCGATTCGCGCGGCGAGTATTGAGATGTCAAGCGTTTTGACGCGCGTTTTGCGCAATTCGTGCTTCCAACACGGCCGCCGCTAGAGTTGAACAATGTTGAACTTTTTGGGAGAATTCGCGTGTGCCGACCAATCAGGAGCTTTCTCCTACAGTGACGTAGTGACGCATTTCACTACCGGGAAAACACTAGTAGATGACAGCTATGGAGGACACGTTAATTGCTCAGGTCGGTGCTCATTCTGAGCTATATAACACTGCGGACCACAGCTACCGGGACCGAAATAAAAAGGAGCTTGCTTGGAGGAGGGTTAGCGAGGTGGTTGGTGTCTCGGGTAAGTTATTTTAACTTTTCACAGTTGTAAATATTTCCTGCTTACGAGTTGATGTGTTTATTCAGTGGAAGTTTGCAAAAAGCGGTGGAAGAATCTGAGGGACACATATGCTAAGGAGAGCAGGAAGGAGAAGGAGAAGGTGAAGAAGAGTGGTGCAGAAGCAGGGAAAGGCCAGACGTGGAAGTACCTTGTGGTCATGTCCTTCCTCGAGCCCTACATCACTCCCCGTGACAGCTCCGGGACTATGCCAAGGCGAAGGGCCGAGGAGGAGCAGACCACAGGGTACAACCACCCAGAAGAAGAGCCAGAGGAAGCAGCAGCAGCAGGGCTGTCAGGTGCTGAAGGTTGGTGTCATGCAGCAAACAGAGACCTCGAACAGTTCGAAAAAATACATTTCTTTCCTTTCTATTACCCACATTTTTCTGACTTTTACATTTATATTGCTTTCTGTGTATGCATTTCTTTTAATGCTTTCTTAACATCATGACCAGGTGAAAATAGGCATTGGCTATTTTCAAACCAGGATAGATCTTGATCATGTGTTGTGTTAAATTTCACTTTTCCCTTTCATATGAACAAATCATTTAAATGTACATAATAACGTACATTATTATGTACATATAAATGCCATAAGCGCAATGTACACATGATATGAAATAATTGTATTTCTTGTTTTCTTCTGGCACAGATACTGCCACCACCACACAAGGTGAGACATCTTGCCTGCTGCTGCTGCTGCTGCTGCTGCTTCTTCTTCCTCAGCCGGTTCTTCTTCTGTGAGGGCTGGACCTTCCCCTGCTTCTGCACCTACAGGTGTGGCTTTTTTTAATCATTTTTTTATTTTTATTCTTATTACAGGACTGTTCATATAAACAAAATGTTACTGCATAATATGCCAAAATTACCCAAGGGCTGTTACATCAGTGTAGACGACAAATTTACAGAGAAACGACAAGATGTCAAGGCACTACAGGTGGAAAGAAGCTTTGGTCTGATACAACACATCTTCCCTCTTTCTTCGATAAAAACATACTACTGAAATACCTTATGCTATAAAAGTACTGAACAAATACATGCAATGGTTGCCACAAGATGGCAGCTATCCTGTTTAATGCAGACAATAGAATATTACTTTTTTAACAGCCAATTTCAAATTTCATTGCGAAATACACTTCAGAGATATTAGTTTGTAACTGTCGAAATTTGTGCTTGTGTGAGTAATTTCATTGATAACTGCAATGTTCAAGTTAATTGTAACAAACACACAACTTAAAAGTGTTTTACATGTGTTTAACTATGTCTACACACTCTGGCTTTAATACAGATATTATTTGCTCTCTTCATTTTGCTTTTTTGAAATACATGTTCCACTTTTTAACACTGTGATTGCCCTGTGTTCTTTGTTGGCGGCTCTACGGACGTGGGCCTCTTCCGAGCCCTCTTCCTTGGTGGGCCTTCAGAGTGGGAGCGGGAGCTGCTGGAGACTCTACGGACCAAAGCAGCCGGACCGCCCGACTACACAGAAGAACATCAGTTCCTGCTCTCTCTCTTTCCTCTCCTGCAAAGGGTGGCACCAGAGTCAAAAGAATTTGTGAAATTCAAAATGTACCAACTTTTATATGAAAGCAGCACCGTTCTGCTTAATTTGGAACCATTGGCCAGTACAGACAGTTTTTTTTACCTAAGGTGACACCTTTTGCAGGGGAGGAAACAGACATGTGTCCCTTTCCTCTTCCACCGCACCTCCTCGAAGCAAGCTCCTTTTCATTTGTTTATATGTACATTTAATTTATTTTTCATTGTTTGTTCCCTTTTTATAAAGAAAATATTTTTCAAACCTCATGTGTTCTACTTCAAGCCAACCGTTACTACCCTTCATATAATACTGACAGAAAATGCTATTCTATATTTGTACATTTACTTTTATAAGAGCTGACTGGGTTTTATAGAAGATGGAATAACCAACACTTAAAGAGCGATACAGTAGTTGACAGTATTTTTTATTCATTTCATCGTTTACCGTTTTAACAACCTTGTAATTACGGAAAAGCTTGAATGTGCATTTGATTAACCTGAAGTTGGAGTGGAGTCGCATTAGAGTCTGGCAGTCATTACCTAGAAACAGAAGGTATACAGGTGAATAGAATAGTGCAAATCAATATGGGTTTGGCCAGAAAAAATGTAAAGAATTTCATATTCAAGAGGCTCAGCACATTATATGTTAGGAATGAAGTTAGGCTCTTTGTATTTTGTGGGTGGCTCTGAAAAGAGCCGTCGTGGGTCAGTCTTGTGGTGGACATGACTACTCTGTGGGCTGCCATGGCAGTGCTCCCTCCTCACTGAAGTGGGCCATGAACACTTTCCTTATGTCCACTGCTGGCTTCCAGGCGGCCATCCGCTGCACGCCTGGAAGTGGTTCTTCACCGGCAGCAGCTCCCCTCGGTGCAGGAACCTGCCCATCTCCAGCCATCCTCATGGCTGGAGATGGGCAGGGAGCATTAAGTTGCAGCGCAGTGAAAAGGCCTCATCTGCCACGAACACATGGGGCTGGGGTCCTCTGTGGTCAGCTCCAGGTATGCACTGGTCAGGAGGCAGGTCGAGTGTGCCCTCGCGCAGAGCCTCACCAAAGGCAGAGTTGGACATGATGCCTCCATCGCTGGATCTGCCGTACCCTCCCACATCAATCACCCTGAACCTGTACTGGGCATCCACTACAGCCAGGAGCACAAGGGAATGGTGCCCCTTGTAATTAAAAAACATGGACCCAGAGTTGGGGGGTGCCTTCACAGCCACATGCTTCCCATCAATGGCCCCACAGCACAGAGGGAAGTTCCATCGGACCTCAAAGTCCTGCGCTATGGACCTCCACTCCTCTGCTCCAGGCACAGCCGTGAACTCCTCCACGAGGCAGTCCCAGATGGCTGCCACCACATCTGGGATGAGCATGGAGACGGTGGATATGCCCACTCTGAAGCTCCCCGCAATGGTCCTGTAGGAGTCCCCAGTGACAAGAAACCTGCAATTACAAAATGATATGAACATATTTATCACAATTACATTCATAAAAATCACGTGACAAAACTTGTGTAGCATAAAATACGTTAAACTAGTAGACAGTAAACATCATAGACAGTAATCATAGACACCATATTGTTGCATAATACTGTTTTCTGAGCTATTACATTGTGGATTGTGATTGAAAAATGACACACTTTGTAAGTATTTAGGAATTCCGAATGGGGTAAAAAACACTAACCGCAGACAGATGGACAGGCGCTCTTCAGCTGGAATAGAGCGCCTGTAGTTGGTGTCCTGGTAGGAGATCCTAGCGCCAATGCGGGTCAGTAGGTCGTCAAACTGGGCCAGGGAGAGACGAAAGTACCGCTGAAAGCGACCCTCATCCGAGCGCAGCTCCCGGAGCAAATGGTGAAACTCACCAAACTCCAACCGTCTACGGACTATCTGATGAATCCAGACACGTCGTCGATTCGCCCTTTGACGACGTGTCTGGCTTTATTTATCAGATAAAGCAACTCCTTCGCTGACATCCATGTTGGAAAGCTACAGGCAAAAGAGACAAGCCCCGCCCCTAGACGCTCTCAACGCTCTGTGACAGCGGCTGCCCTCTAGTGTCCTGGCCGCGCGGCCAAGTTTCTCTGTGACAGCTATCCTACTTTGTGTATGATGACTCTTGACTGCCCGTTTTTGGAGTATAAAGAGGGATTGTAGTGAACTTTTATAATTGTTGCCCCAGATCACAATACAGTAGTTTAGTTTAGTTTATTTGTTTATTTGAGCAATACACATTGTGCTCAAAAGGAGTGGGCTGAAGCAAAAAGCTTATGAGCCCCCACCCCCAAGTGCAATACATAAAAAAACATTTCAAAACATTTCAAGCAGCTACATTCGTACAGACCAAATTACAACAAACAACAAAAATATATTCACTCTTTATATAATTAATTGGAACAACACACAGCTACAACAACAATCTAGTTTCATATACAATGTCTAGAACAAAGCAAGTCAAAAAATGTGTTACTTAATATACCTTACCCGTGATTACAGAGTTACTTTTATGGTATAAAAGTACATTAATAGATATTATAATCTGAGATCTTGATACTTTCCAATTGTCATTGTCATTGTATAATTTTAATTTGGGTTTAATTATCATCATCATTATTATATATTTATTTAATTGAGTTATGTGAAGTATGATGAAAGCCCTGCACAGTGTGGTGCATTAAAAAGCCAGAGAGTGAGCCAGTTGAAGAGGGCAGTAACTCCCCTTCAACAAACCCCCACACAGCTGCCCTAACAGCTGATTTTGTAGAATATGTTCCTATGCTGAGTGGTGCATTAAAAGACAAGGTTTAGAGCCCGTTGGGAGGATTCCTCTCAACAGATCCATAACCTGGCAACCCTAATTCTCCATTTGTGAATTTTAGCAATAGAATGACAACTGTTCCAAGCAGCAACACTCTTCCTTGAATATAGAGGAAAAATACACATAATTGATCCTACTGCTCCCCCTAGTGGCAACACATTTCCTCTTGTCTGTATATTTCAAAAGTCTTTAGTTTGTATTTATATTTGAACAGGTTGATGTTTGGACATCGTTTCAATTCCATCTCCAGTTTATTCCACAATTGTACACCATTAACTGTTGGACTAAAACTTTTCAAAGTTGTGCTATGTTTCTGAATCCTAAAGTTTAATTCATCACGTAATTCATAACGACCGGGACGTTCTTGGAACCTTCTTTGTAATTGGTTTGGTAACAGTTTATACCTTGCTTTGAATAACATCTGTACAGTTTGGAACTCAACAATGTCACGAAACTTCATGATCTTTGATTTTAAAAATAATGAGTTTGTGTGATCCAAAAACCCAACTTTATGAGTTACTCGGATAGCTCTTTTTTGCAACAATATTATTGGTTTAACTGTGTTTTTATAAGTACTACCCCAAACCACAGTACAATAATATAAGTAGGGCAAAATCAGAGAACAGTATAAGGTCTGTAGAGCTTTGATGTTTAAAATGGTCTTTGCTTTTGCTATTACTGAAATGCTTCTAGAAATTCGTGTAGATATATATTTAATGTGGGATTTCCAAGTAATTCTGTCATCAATAATCACACCAAGGA